GCCCCAGCCTCCTTCCCTGCCTTGGCTCACCTCAGGGAGGAGCCACTGCCTGCCCTGAGTGAGGCTCTGCCAGCTCCGGGATACTGTGGGAAATGCCCCCAGAGGCCATGCCAGTGTCCCAGAGCTGGTGGAGCCTCACTGGGGCAGGCAGCAGCTCCTCCCCGAGGTGAGACAAGGCAGGGATGGAGGCTGGGGCGGGGGGCTGGCGCGGGCTCTGCCAGCTCCGGGGAAGTACTCCACTCCCCGGCCCTGATGCGGGGGAGTAGAGCACTTCCCCGGAGCCAGTGGAGCCCACGCCAGGCTCTGGCTCTAGCCTCTCCTGGTGCACGGCCTTGAAAAGGCTGTGCGTGGCCACACTTTAAGTTGTGTGAGGCTGCGCATGTGCACACCTTAGAGCAAACCTTGCCTTGGATCCCCTGCCAGGTGGGGGCTGATCCAGCCTGGCTGAGCATGCTGCTGTCCCAGATGTGTGTGTAAATGCAGAACCCAGGAGCAATAAATTCCAGTGTAATAAGCACCAGAGTTTACTGCTCCACTTTAATAGCATGTGTAGATGCGCCCTTCCACTGGTACCAGTGGAGCTAAGCTGATATCTACCAGATGAACATCTGGCCCTTCAAGTAAAAATATTGGCTGGTGACTGCTCTTTGTTGGAAATAAATTGAAAGGAAAACAAAATGCCAGTTGCCTGAGGCCTTAACTTGCCACAACTCCTCATGTACCTCCGCTCAGTTCTTACCAGCTGATGGATTTGTTAACTACTTCTGTGTCGTAGTTGTTGTTATTATGCAAGCCCAGGGGTCAGAATTCATGAATTGCTCATATTAGTTAGTTAACTAACATAGTCATATAAAGCAGAATATCAAGAGACATAGTACACATTTGTATGAATTCAGAAAGTATGAAGAGAAAGTATGTACCAATGTAGCAATTGGCAGACTGATCTAAGCATTTAGCATAGGTTTGTCATATAAAATTCCTGCATATTAATTTAACATATACCTAGTCACTGAGGAGAAAAGATGGTAAAGTATTAAACCTTGTATGGGTTGCGTAAGAAATATGGCACATAACTCAAGTTGACATTTGAGTCTTCTTTTCAACTCAGCTTCCCAGATATGTATTCACAATGAGTATAAACTCAATTAGTGACAAACTCATGCTGAAGACAGGCAGGAAATTTGCTATTTATATAATAAGAGTATTAGATTTTGAACAGAAATTATTTTTCTTACCTCACATGTGGTTTGTTCTACCTTTTTTCCTTGCAGTAAATGTACGCTATCATCTACAAGATTATTTTCACTGAGCTCTGAAATACAACAGAAATTAATTTAAATAATTATGACAAAGTTCTGGGTCTTGGCTGTTTAAGGCAATACAGTTTGAACTGCATACACATATTTCACTATTTTGACCCTTTGAGGTTAATTTTACATCATTTAAACAAGCTTTATCTCATCATAAAAATGTTTGAAGTAAGACTACAGAGTAAATTGGCAAAATAACTTACATACATAAAATCTATTTGTGTTTATTACTTCATCTGCACATATTTCTCCATTCAATAAATTAGACTCCCTACCTACCAAGCAGTTTCTCATACCTAGCTATCTTACAGCTTTAGAATGTGGAATATTAATGTTAAAATTATGGCCTTGGGCAAAAATGATCTTTGCAATCTAAGATCTGTTTGGCTTTGGACTGTAAAAAAAATGTTTTTAAAAGTTGAACTTCCTCTTCAGCTTTTTTTTCCAGGCAGCATAGACATTGACCTAGGAAGGATATGAGCCTTCACTATTTAATAACAGGCAATAATTCAGCAAGTGAGTCATTTGAAAAACTAGAGCCTGATGTTACACTCAGTGAAGTCAGTGACAACTTCCACAGACTGTAGCGATGCAGAATAAGGGACCCGGAGAGTATATTCCATTCTCTTATTGTGGCTATAAGAAACAGTTCATCAGTTGCTGAAAGAATAGACCCTCGTTTGTGGGGGAAATGACTTTTGGGTTTTTTGGATCTTTTTTAGTAAGTTCTACTCATTGAGGCCCAGAACCTGGCCCTCTTCCTCCTGTTGAAGAAGACTTTACAACACAAGTAATTCCACTGACTTCAATGAGAGCCCTAATGGGCTAAGATATTCAATATCTATTGAAGTGTCAGAATCTTGCTAGGGAAGCTTAGGAGCTGATTGTTTCTCTTTCATCAGCCAAGAATGATCCTACAAACTCTTATGCCTGTGACTAAATTCACCTGTGTTTAAAATTATGAGTGCAAATGTTTGCAAGAGCATTACCTTAAAAAATAAAATGTGTGCTTAGATGAATTTGAAGCTCCATTGTATGATAAAATTTATCCCCAAGCTGAGGTGGGGACTGTTTTTCATTTTTTTTTTTAAAAAGCTAAGATCAATTTTTTAAAACTAAAAATAGAAATAGAAACAAAGTTACATTGGAAATAACAAATTAATTCACCCTAGACATTGTAGGAATGAACAAATGCATGCGAACCTGACAGTAAACCTTGAAAAAAAGAGTGGGATGGACTTGATGTCAGAGTTCTTTTTTAATGTTAAGATTGACAGCACGAATACCTAATTCTTTCATTTGCTAGATGTGTCATCAGCAGGGAAAGGTAACAGGAACAACAGAAAACTTTATCAAAGCATTGCATAGGTTTGGCATTAGTGGCTCTGATAGAATATACAGTAGTTCACACATCATCTGTCTCCTGCAGACCTAACAGTGACAATAAAGCTACTACGTGGAAAAAAAAATGAGTACCTAAAGTTAGGTTCCAAAATACATAATTAGAAATCTAAAGGTGAGAGAACTGACTTTTCCAAAGTGCTGAGCATACGCAAATCTTGAAGGCAATGGTGGCTGAACTTCTGAAAATCAAGCCATTTAAAGCATTAAGCCTGAGATATAGGGGCTCTTGAAAAACAGTATACTAACATTCCCTATGAAAAAAAACCCACAAAAAAACCTGAGATCCAACGGGGGGTCCTCAACCATGTAGCCGAGATTAACCAAACCAAGGATCAAAACAGGATCAAAAATTAACTTTAATTTTTTGAGCCACAAAAGGGTCAAAACAGGTTATGGGGTGGGCTAACGAAAATAAGATGGGTTTCAATACAGACAAGTGCAGGGTGCTGCACTTGGGCAGCAGGAACCAGCAGCACACTTATAAGCTACACTGGTCAGGTCACAGTTGGAGTACTGCGTCCAGTTCTGAGCGCTGCACTTCGGGAGGGATGTGGACAGCATTGAGAGGGTCCAGAGGAGGGCCACCCACATGATCCGGGGACAACAGGGCAGACCCTATGAAAAGAGGCTACAGGACCTTAACCTGCTCAGCCTTCGCAAGAGAAGGCTGAGGGGGGACCCGGTGGCCATCTATAAATTCGCTAGGGGGCAACAGCAGGGTTTGGGAGAGACCTTGTTCCCCCTGAGTGCCCCCCGGGGTAACAAGGAATAACGGCCACAAGTTGTTAGAGAGTAGTTTTATATTAGACATCTGAAGGCTCTACTTCACGGTCAGGGCGGCTAGAATCTGGAACCAACTTCCAAGGGAAGTGGTGCTGGCTCCTACCCTGGGGGTCTTTAAGAGGAGGCTTGACATCTACCTGGCTGGGGTCATTTGAGCCCGGTTTTCTCTCCTGCCCAGGGCAGGGGGTTGGACTAGAAGATCTACAAGGTCCCTTCTGACCCTACTTCTATGAATCTATGAAAACTTAAAAGAAGCCCACTGTGCTTCCTGGGTATACCAATTGTCATGGCCTTCAAGAATAAAAAAAAAAAAGGAAAAAAGAAAAAA